CCAAACACTCCACAGTGACAAAGTTCTGTAGCATTAGAGATGGACCCCTTCAAGAAAAAAGCAACTGAACTGGTAGTGATCAAAGAATTAGCGGTGTCTGCTCTTATCAGCACCACTAACACTGACGGGGCCGTGTTCAAAAAAAAATGAAAAAAAAAAGATCAAAGAATCAGGCTTCCAACCACCACTTTCGGAATGGCAGTCGAGCCCTCAGATCTGTCAGTCGAATCTAGCATCTAACCGCTGAAGCGATTCATGAACGATGATCTGCACCTAGCCAGGCGATGAGTGTTTTAGCTGCTGATACGTGTGACCAGCCCAGGCAGCAAAAAAAAGGGTCGGCGCACTGAACTTCGCTAAATATCAGCAAATCAACATTCGCCAATGGCCACCGTAACGACATATGCTGACGCCGTTAGCAGCCTGCTGCGAAGGCACGCTCAGTAACATTAATTAAACAGTTCAAACTTGTATCTGACGGGGAGCCGATAATTTATGGTTTTTTAACTTTTTTTTTTTTGTTTGTTTTTTTTTGCAAATGGCAAAATGCCATCAGGAGAACTCAAATTATTCCAATTTGCGTAATTTTACTAATAACAATTGCATTTATGAAATATGAGTACCAAAGTTACATCATTTGTGTATCTAGTACTGGTCATTCAGCAACTGAAACTTCTGAAAGTATGATTTAATAAATAACTGACTTCTGGGCGCAGCACCATTTTTGGCATTTTCCACTTGAAAAGATCTGACGGACGGGCAGCCCACGTCGTAAAGGTCTGGCCATACACCCAATCATGACAAGCTGTGCAAACACTCAGCGCAGCCCAAGCCCAAGCCCAACCTATCATCCACTCTCTTCGAAGCTCTACCAATACAGGTTGATTGACACATGCATGAGTTTTCTCAATTAAGATGGTGGGGGGTGGGGTGAATGAAGTCCTACATTGCATTCCATGGACTATATATTTGACGGAATTCCGTTCCGCGGAATTGGTGGTAATACATACACAGTACTATACAGGATGAAACACGTCAAAAATCAAAGGAAAAACTTTTTTTTTAATCTCCATCAGTTAAACAAAACAAATAGTAAAATAGTTAGAAAAAAAATAAAAAAATACCCATACAAATGTGGAGTAAGTGCCTCTCTCCACAACTCACCAAATGTGCAACATGAGAATGAATCTTCCGCTAGAGCATGGAAACATACACCACCATTTTTTGGGTCTTTTGTGCACATGGTGAGTAGTGGAGCGAGGCCTTAAAAAAAAAATCTCCACCGCTCAAACAACGAAGATCACCCACATGCGGACTAAATAAACGGAGAACAGACACGGGTCAGCGACGACCTAGGCCTCAGAACTACAGCCGCGTTTTTCGGCCCCGTGACGACCAATCGAAGCCATGGGAGATGCAGGACGCTTCACAACTGACCGCCCGCCCCTTGTAAATACAGAACCCCGAGAAGAGAGAGGACAACAAAAAAAGATTCGGCCAGCAACAAGACAAAAAAAAGGCGGCGATCAGCACTGTGATTAAAATTTCAACTTCCGGAGGGCTTCATCCCGATAATCATAAAAGAAATAACAGCAATAGAAGTGCTCCAGCGGCCCTTCATCCGCCCCTCCATCCACACCTCCATCCGCACGTCTACTCCCAACCCGTCCATCCCGTGACACGGGCATTGTGCTACAGAGAACTCTTACAGACTTGGCTTTCTTGGAAGAACTACAAGCATTATCCCTAACAGCGGTTCCTACTAGTCCGCTTACCGCAGCATTGCCACCATGATCATCATCTGCATGTGGACGGGAAGTGGTTAGCCTTTCCCGACCACTTCGTGTCAGTGGGCTGGATCTGTCGTGTCGAGCTCCTGCGTTACCATCACTTGGTCCTCCATCGTGCCCTGCAACTGCAGGTTGCTTGAAGATCACGGTGACCTTTTGCAACGAGCGCCCCAGCTGCGCCACGGAGTGCAAACGACAACGAGAGAAAGCAAGGTAAGTTCGCTGTTCAGGCAACTCTAGCAGCATGCATCCATGCATGCAGTTTATCCAAGTTCAAAACCAGATTGGGTGAGATTAAAAGGAGTCTACTCAGTCTAGGTAATTGATTTTTTTTTTTTTTTTTTTATTTTTTTTTTTTTTAAGAACAAAACCCCCCTTCCACTGATAGTGGTGCTGGTAAGAGCAGACACCAATAGCACCTGAGGAGGGGCTCCATCTATTGGTGGGGAGCAGCACCTGCTGGAAAACGGGTCCAGCGTCTAGGTAATAGAAAATAGTAGTCCTGTGATTTACAAAAACACGTGTAAAGAATAGGTCCGTTTTCTAGGCCGCCAGGTGCTCCTGGCTGGGCATCATACAGGCCACTCACACGGCCAGCGGCAGGCTCATGTGGGTGGGCAAAAAAACGCGTCATTCTTTCTCTTTTCTTTTCTTTTCTTTTTTTTTCATTTTCTTTTGGGCATTGATGGCGGGGCAATTCTGCGCCCATCGACGGCAGCCCAAGTCCAGGTTCTCGACAGTACCCCAAATCCAAGTTCTCAACAGCAACCCAAAATTTCTCGTTTATATTTGAGTATGTTGGGTTTTGAAGAGGGGTGGGGGAGGGAGTTATAAATTGCGTTTGAAAATTCCCAGCTACACCAACGTCTGACATTAGTGCGGTTGTCATGAATGACTTTGTCCTCGCACGGGAGGCCCATACATCCCAGCGCGTTAACAGGCACACCTCTGGGAAGTACTTGAAACAGTTTTCACCTTTGGCAGTAGCCGATGCAGATCCCAGGGGTCGATCCTTTGACCTCAGCTTACCTGTGTACAGTATCTGCACATTTGC